GTGAATGAACAAGCCTTAAGATGAGTCTCTTCCAGCCCCAGACACTGTGGACCAGAAAGGAGCCTCCCCATTGTGTCCTATCTAAACTCCTGACCTATGGAGACACATTATTGTTTTGGGGTAATGTGTTATGCTGCAGGAGTGACTAAAAAACACACATAGTCTCACGTTGTGTTTCTAAAGGGTTGTATCAATTTGCTGTGCCACCAGCAGTGGAGGGGGTGGCCGATTCACAACCACATGAGCCCTGGAGCCTGGTCTCTTCGTGGGCACTTACCTCATACTCTCCAAATCTCACCTCCACTTTTACACAGCAAGCAACTTGAGGGGATACATCACTGCACTTCTGTTCACAGATCTGAGCAGGTGCTCTGTAAGTGCTTGCACATTTGCACATTTGTTCAAAGTAAGTGTAATTAGGGTGTGCATTTGTGAGGCTACCCTGGCCAGGAGCGGACTATGACCATGGACCAGATTATCTTTTTTTAAAAAAAAGTTTAATGTTTTTATTGATTTTAGAGAGAGGGAGAAACTTCGATCAGTTGCCCCTCACATGCCCTTCCACTGGGGATTGAGCCCACAACCTGGGCATGTGCCTTGACCAGCAATCAAACCAGTGACCTCTCGGTGCACAGGAGGATGCCCAACCACCCAAGCCACACCAGCCAGGGCGACTAAGGCCATCTTGATTTCCCCATGAGAGAAAGCAGATTCCAGAGAAACAGCTCAGAAAATACACCCTCTAGTCCAGGTAGATACATACTCGGAGAAAACTCCAGTGTTTCAGAGAACAGGATAACGGTGTCCTGTGACCGGATCAGTGTTCCCAGCCCTCGTACCTTGCATCCGCCCAAATACAGCTCCAGCTGTGAGGGCTTGTGATGCTACCAATTCTGCATCCTGAGATACTGGCAGATATGTATCTAGATGCCCCTCCACCCCCAAGCCATACATGTTTCTACTACTGAATGTTTTCATGGAGCCCACCAAAGAGGAATGCATGGAAATGCAGTTTCCAATGAGCCCTCTGGCCTCTTCTGAGTTTAGATCCAAATGCTAGTTCCTTGCTTCTCTGCCACACTTCTCCTCACCAGCTAGAGAGCTCAGCATGAAAAGCACACTCACTGAAAATTCCGGTCCAAAAAAAGAAAAGGTTTGTTTTTCAAGTGAACTGTCTGCTTAAGCCAATTATTAATTCAACAAATATTTACTAAGCACCTAATACACATTTGCCCTCAAGGACCTCAAGGAAGCTGCAGCCTAATAGAAATCTCCATCGTTTATGGGAGTTCTGAGAGCTGCGTTTTCCTTGGGTATTGTTCTAGCATTTGCCCCACTATTGCACCTGCCAGGACAGGGGCAGGAGAGCAAGCCAGCAACACTCAAAGATCCCTCTCTCACAGAAACTGCTGGGGGGGGGGCAAGTAGGGAGGGGGCGTGTGTGGGAAATAGAGTTGTGAGGCGGGAAAAAGCAGCAACTTAAGAGTAATATAGTAGCTTCAAGGAAATATAATTTCTCTGGCTACACAGAAAATGCCTAGTCTTATTTAAGAGACACTATTCTAGGATGTGGGCTTTGCCTCCAGATTCTGTCCAAGGCACTTGCTCTAAGTGGAGAATAACCACCACTTTGAGGTATTTAACTTCAGGAATTTTCAAGATGGCATAAAAAAGACTTTAAAGAACTCAAGCAGGACACTGCACCAACTTTATTTTTAAGCGTGGTTAACAAACTCGAGCGGAAGCCATGCAACACTTTCTCAAACCACCGCGTTTGGGGGCTGGTGGCTTTAGCTCAGGCTTCTTTCTGCCAAGCCTCTTTCATGAGTTAGCTGGACTTCTCTGGCCCGCAGGCTGTCCAGTGGATGAGACCCCTCCCCAAAAGGAACACAAAGGGCCTTTCTTTGGAGCTGGAGCTCAGTAAGCTAATGCCTGTATCCTGAGCCAAAACTATCACAGAACTGCCCGACTCCAGTTTACACACCACGTGTTTGAGGAAGAACCATGCCTGGCTGCTGCTCCTAAAAAAACAAGTTTTGCCCCCAACAGAGCAGATCACCACCTTCTGACTTTCCTCCTATGGGTCGCAGTTCATGAAAGCAGAGTCTGATTCAGGATTGTTATTTTTTCCCTCCAGTTTAGCAACGGCAAAGGAAGAATGTGTTTTCTTGGTAGACCAGAAAGCCCAGCCGTTAGGATACAAGGACAGTACTGTTTATGACTGGGGGGTGGCCAGGTCTGGGGCGGGGGAGGGACAGAGGGAGGAGGCAGCAGATACAGCTGGGCTAGGATGGTTAGGGTAGATGTGAGTGTCAAGGCCATGAAGATCTGTGTAGCTCAGCATGACCCAAAAATGACATAGTTGCGTTACAATGCCAAAGGGGCCATTTCCTAGTTTTACATTGTTATTTTGAAAGACTTTTTTTTTGAAATCCTTACCTGAGGATTTTTCCATTGATTTTGAGAGAGAGTAGGAGAGGGGTAGGTGGGGGAATGAGAAACATCGACTGGGGAGAACCTGCAACTCAGATATGTGCCCTTGACTGGAAACTGAACTTGAGACCCGTTGGTCTGCGGGCAGTTGCTCTAATCACTAAGCCAAACTGGCCAGGGATGACAGACTTTTAAAAGCCTTTTTTTTTTTTTTAACTACCTAAAAGCTCTGTCATCCAGTATTTTCACTTTTAGCTTCTCAGTGATCTCTGAGGTATGGGAGTATCTTTATGTTAATCAGAAATTAGTGTAAAATGTTAATTGCCCTGCCCCAATCAGTGGCAAAGCTCAGTCATCTCAAGTTACAGCCCATTTAGGCCACTTGCTCTTCTAGACAGACTGACTTTGGAATATTTTGTTTTGGGGGCATGAAAAATTTACTTAAAGCTTTAAATTTCATTCGTATTAGTGCCCGGGGTTATCTGTGACTTTGCTATGAAATATCTCTGGGTCACTGCTGTCTTAAGTGGACAGAGTCCTAGAGACAACAAATCTGTTCTCCATGCCCATCCTGCTATATTGGACTCTTTTCCCTAATCCCAAATGAGCTGCCATCCCCGGAGAACCCATAACCTGTCCCCCCACCCAGGTCAGTGCAGTTCATTCACTGTGGAAATGAAATTACTGATGGCCATCCAGGGAGCAAATTAGTGACATGGCTCAGAACTAATGCCTACTAATCCTGCGGATTCAGCAGAGAGCCAATGTCATACCCAGCGAGAGATGTGGCAGTCACTGGGGCCCAAGAAGCACAGGTGCTGACTGTGCAAATCCCTCTCTAAGTGGCCGACCAGGCCCCACACAGATCCTTCCCCAAAACCTCTTGCCAGAGAGCTCAGCCCTCTGCCCTCTGCCTTCACACACACCATCCGAGGACAGCTGGAGGGACAAGTGAGCGAGTAGCTCCTCCCATCCCTCAGTGGACCTGGTAGCTTCTGGGCCAGTGTGCTGCTGCTGAGTGCAACGGCCTCACCCCAGCTCACTATAGAAGACCCTCAAGAGTGCCAAGAATCGGTTGTGTTGTTTTCCTAACATCTTTACTTTTTATTTTCAGGCAGTCCCCCCTGCTGCAGCTGTCCAGCCCTGGGAATGCTTCTTCCTCCTTGGCCACAAAAGGAAAGCCAGGGTGCTGGGCTACTCCAAAGGTGCCTGTCTTCAAAGAGGAGAATGTAAGCCTCTCTCTAAAAGTAGTTAGGTCTTCAAGTACTCCTCAACTGCAGTACAGCTCAGATGAATAAAAAATTCAGTTCTTTTATGAGGATGGGGCAAGATATAAGGACACACTGTTAGAGAGACTAGAAGTCACTTCTGAGCACATTCATGTGAGTACTGAGTGCCAAAAAAAGGGGCACAGATCTAATCACCCTGGAGGAAAAATGACTGCCAGCTGTAGTAGTCAGGACCAGCTCCAAAAAGTAGCAGATTTAATTAGAATGAAGTCTCTAGGCAGAGGTAGACTGCGCAGGAGGAAGGGGCATCCCCAGAGAGGGATGAGGATGACCAGGAGGTAGCTTGCAGGGAGCCCAGCAAGGAGCAGCCTGCACCAGCTGGAGTCAAGAATCTGGTGGGTAAGGCTAGCTTGGGACCAGATTGCGGAGGGCTTTAAATGTCAGGCTAAGGAGTTTATCAGGGCAATAAAATGGCCAAACAGGTGTTTTAGGAAGATGAATTCAAAGAGAATGTGCAGGATGAATTGGAAAATCTGGAAGCATGGCAACAATTAGGAAGCTGTGAGATTAATTAGGCTGTTGTAGTAGTCCTATGTGAGTTGATAAGGGTGTAAATGAGCATAGTGGCAGCAGAAATGGAAAGGGACAGCTGCAAGAGACATTGTTAAGAAAGAATGGATGAGGTTTGCTGCCTGATTGGATTGGGGACCCAGGGAGCTCAAGGAATCAAAGATGACACCAGAGTTTTGAGCATGGGCAACTGCTGATACAATGAACAGAAAAAGGGATGTCAGAGGGAGGAGCTGGTTTCAGCAGATAGGAATTCAGTTCAGACACAGTCTGCAGGATATCTAAGTGGACATGTCTGATGGGTTTCAGGAAATGTAACACTAGAGCTCAGGAGAGACTTTTGGTTGGTGATGAACTTGAGAATCAAGTGCAGAGAAGTGATACATAAAGTGGTGGAATGAATGAGATCTCCAAGGAAAAGCATAATACAGTGAAACAGAGGACCAAAGGCAGACCTGTGAGGAATGCCCACATTTAAAGGGTTTCTATTACAAAGCTGCGTTTAGAAGTCCCATCCACCTGCTGCATGTCTTTACCATTAAAATCAATTTAAAGTGTATATCTGTTTGAGAAAGCCAAGCAAAATAGCATTTTTAAGTCTCAGTAGGAACTAAATTATAAACACCTAACTATGCCCCTAAACAAATTTGGCTGAATTCAAGGCTGGTATTCAGAGAAAAAAGAATAAATGATCCAGGGAACATAATCTAGAAGATCAATGGATTTGAGCCCATAAAGATGAGTCGAGCAATAAAAACTCGTGAAAAATATCCTATAAAATAACATTTAATTAAAGAAAAGTAGATATTTACTCATTTTAACACAGGACCAAAAAACTTCACCATATTTGCAGGGTACTGTCTTCCTGAGTGTGAATTTTTAATAAAGGCCATATTAAAGTATAAGCTGGCTCAAACACCTGTGAAGATAAGTTAACACAGGAAAGCCGCCCAGAGCACAGGAAGCCCCAGTAGACTTAGCATGCAAACAAAATCTCTTCTGTTTTATGCCTAGTCTTTTTACATGTATGTTTACAGTATATTGTACTTTTTGACAGTCATTTAAAAAAATAAAATATTCTAGCTTAGAATTTTTGGACTTTTTAAAAGCTGCCCCAAGTCCTATGAAGAAAAAAATGTTTGTTTTATGCATTGCTAACATTTTCTCCTTATTGCTTTTAATAAAGAATACACACCAAAAGTCTAACAGCAAAACAACTGCTAGCCCATGACACCTTTAATAACTATTGAAATAGTAGACTTAGATCTTAAAATGTCTTTATATTTCCACACATTTACTTGATACTTTCCTCTTAAATACCATAGCAAACATATTAACATATATCAAAAACAGCTAAAAAACAGAACTCCTTTCCTGGGGACATATGACTTTTAAAAAACAGAAACAACTTTAAAAGAGAGAATTTACAAAATCACACAAAATGGGCTGCACATATAATATTGGCATGCAGTTGTTTTAGTTATTTCCAGGTGATGGAAGCAGTCTAATATGTCAATCCAGAAAATATATGCAACTCCTGGCTGGCCTTAGGGATACTATATACATACATAAAAAAAAAAAAAGGAGAGTCAATAAAACTTATAAACCTGGTTACTTCTTACTCTCCAGATAGTCTGAACATACCTAAAAAATTTAAACATAAGATATCATATGATCTTAAAGGGAACTTTTAAAATCATACAATATTATGGAATTAAATTTTTTAAAATGGAGAACACAGAGACAGGCCTCTCAGAAACTTTTCCCTATTTGACTTGAGTTATTAAGACCAAAGCAGCCCTGGCCAGTGGCTTGGCTGGTCAGAGCCCCGTGGCAGGTTTAATTCCAGGGCACATGCCTGGGTCGCCAGTTTGAATCTGTGCTGGGGCAAGTATGGGAGGCAACCAGTTGCTGTTTCTCTCTCCCCCTTCCTCTCTCTAAAATCAATTCAAAAACAACATATCCTAGGTGAGGATTAAAATGAAAACCAAAGCATTAGTTTTCTTGATATCCTCAGCTTCTTAACTAAGGCCCAAAGAGTTTAATTCTATCAGCTACATTTAATGCAAGACGACTTTTCAAACACAATACTGTCAAACTTCTTTCAATAATATTTAAAAAATACACATGCACTAATACATTATTTAGAAGTTGATCTTATTTTTAAAATATGGGTGTTGGGCTGATCTGCCAAACACTGGGGAAAGTTAGAGATTAAAAAAAAAAAAAAAGCTAGCAATTTGCTTGTGTTTTTTTTTAAGAATTTATACTAAATAATGTAACTGAAAAATCAATTTTTGTGGGGAAGAATCAGGTAGACGATTCTTATTTGGAAGTTACAATGAAAAGGGACTCGCATTTATTTAATTAAGGGAGGAATGCACTGTTCTGGATCAACAACAATCCTTAAGCTTGTAGTTTTGTAAGAAACGGAAAAATCTGAAATGTGATAAAAAATCAAGGATAATGTCTTTTGGTGTAGAAGATACAGGACATACTTTCACAAGGAAGTTTCCAAAATAGTTAATTGTTTGTTAAATCTAAAGAGTAACATACACACGTGTCATAAAACAAAGAGGTGGTGACTCAGAGATGCTTAGATTCAACTTCTGATTCAGGCAAATAAAAGTCCAAATGTTTGGAATTAAATGACCCACTACTCGCCAAAAATCCATAAAATATTCACACCGGATAGACCAAGATTAACTCTCCTATGAAGAAAAAAAAAGAAGTTTTAATGGAACGGACTGCCAAGCATTGAAGTCTTTTCTCAAATAACTAAAACAAGGAGTAGACGTTTAATTGATGATATTTAACACTATTCTGTAGTAAGTTACAGTACACATGGTTTATCAGGTGAATTCTAGTAACAGTAACTACTTTCTTAATTGTGCTTAAAACTCGAATTTAGAATAAGTGCATTTATAGTGTTGAAAATTAATTTTTCAGTGGACCTTAAGAACTATTGTATCAGATAGTTAACAGGACAATTTTAGCAGGTAAAGTCAAAGTAAATGTGTCAAAGTTTTTAAAATGGAGAATACAGAGATAGGACTTCTAGAGAATTTTGGCTATTTGACCTGAATTAGGAATTTTCCAGTTATTAGAGATGCTTTAGTGGATTTGCATATAGGTGTTATTAATATAGCCTAAACTAAACCATATTGCATATAACAAAAAGAAAAATCGACTTCTACTCCAGAGAGTAGTATAACTGTATTCAAAGTCTGAGGAGAGGAGAAGAGGGCTAGAAGAGAAATTACTCATCTAACAGAGTGAGAGAGAAATCAATCGACTTGTGTCCGACACTGAAGAGTCAAGAGGAGCTGCACACCTCTATTATTGTAACCGTGGGCGGACCATCAGAAGGAAAAGGGCTTTCAGGTGGTTGACTTTGGGAAGCGGGCTTGGGTAGTACAGGGAACTGCTTATTTCTGTCATTAACTTTTAGCACTATATGATTTTTAAAATTAAGAGTATGTATTAATTTTGATAATTAAAAATATATATGATAAGAATACCCTTCAAAAAAGGTAATTTCTATCAGCCATGTTTTCCTATTTTTTCATGCCCTCACCAACACTGCAAATGATCAATCTCAATTTGATAGAAAAATGTTTTAATTTGGGTTTGTTTGTATATGAGGCTAAGCATCTTTTCGTGTTTATTAACCATTTGCACATTTTCTATGAAAAAGTCTTTTGTGTCTTTGATAATTTTCTATATTTTTCTTTTCTAATTAACTACGTACTCTACATGTGAAGAATATTAACTTGGATTTGCTATATGTGCTGCAACTATAATGCTTTGTCTCAGTTTGACATTTAGCTTTAAACTTTATTTATGGTGTCTTTCGCTGAACAGAACACTTAAATTACTGTGCGGTCAATTCTGTCTAGATTTTTTTCCCTTTTGGAGGTAAAACATTCATCTTATTCCAGTAATGGCACAAATATGTGGCATTAAATTGAAAATGTTTTTGGATCAATCTACTGATTTATGGGCATGATTCCAAATGGACTATATTTGAGCCACTTGCTATTCTCTTTAAGTTATAGGATAGTAGTTTTTAACCATTTGATTACTTTAGAATATATTAAAAGATTAAGCAATCAGATTTTAAAATTTAATTTCAGCCTGGCCGGGTGTGGCTCAGCGGTTGAGTGTTGACCTAGGATCCAGGCGATCGGGGTTCAATTCCCGGTCAGGGCACATGCCCGGGTTGCGGGCTCGATCAGTGACTCTCTCATCATTGATGTTCCTATCTCTCTCTCTCCCTCTCCTTTCCTCTCTCTGAAATCAATAAAGATATATTAAAAAAAAAAAAAATTAATTTCAAAGTTTTCTTCCTTGGTTAAAAAAACCCCAAATAAATAAAACACAAATTAGTCTTAGTAGAAAATGTTTCATTTTCTACATATAAGTTGTACACTTAAAGAAGATACGCACTTCAAAAAGTGTATCAGTTTGTTTTTGGCCTCTGAGTAAATTACTGTTCCATTGAGTAATTTTAAAGCTTTTACATTTTTATGCATATGACAAATTGTATGTGGCACTCAACACAAGATTCACGTCATCATGGTAAATCATTTATGCATCAAAATATTAATTTGGATCTACAGAGGAAAAGATAAATTTTCAATTAAAACATAAAACTAAAAATTCATTGTTTATTTAAAATATTTCTAAAGTAATTTTAAAAAAAATCCTCCCCTAAGGATACGTTTATTGATTTTAGAGAGAGAGGAAGGAGATGGAAAGGGAGAGGAAAGGAGAAAGGGAGGGAGAGAGAAACATGGATGTGAGAAACATCAACCAGCTGCCTTTTGTATGCATGCCGAATAGTCCCTGAACCCACAACCTATGTATATGCCCTGACTGGGAATCGAACCTGCAACCTTTTGGTATACGGGACGAAGCTCCAACCCACTGAACCACCTGGCTGGGGCTAAATTAAATATTCACTTCAAAATAGCCTTCCAAAAAAACCCCCAAAAAACAAACAAAAAAGCCTTCCAGAAATTCTGGTAAGTGAAGACTTAAAAAACAATATATTTACAGCTTACTCCATCCTTCTAATACATATGTGTGCATACACTTATAACCAAATACTGCTAGAAATTTTAGAAAAAAAATTCTGTATTTACTGACATAGAAAAATGTCCAAGATATACCATCAGGTTAAAAAGCAGATCACAACTAATATGGTTGGGTACAATATATTTTTAAACAAAATGAAAAAAACAAAATCAAAACTTTATTCCCAGAAAGTAGTCTGAAAACATGCACCCAAAACTCCAGAGAGTGCAAAGAAGAGCAAGAGAAGCTGATTAGAAGGGAATTTTTAATCTTTAGTTTATACACAGATGTATTGTTTAAACATTTCTAAGTTGAGCATGCCTCAATTACAAGTTACATTTTTATAATTAAAAAAAGTGAAGAACCATGTAGTTTAGATGCCTCACAAAAGTGAATTTACTATTTAATTTTTTCACACATTAAAAATATATGATAAAAGCTGATAAATATTTATATTTGTTTATAAATTTCTGTTTATGTCTTTTTAAATCTTTGCATCTAATATGTTTAACAACAGGAGCTTGGGTTTCCCTAGAGCAGTGCTGTTCAACAGAAATATAATGTGATGTGAGTCACAAAAGGAAGCAACATACATAATTTTACAATTTCTAATAAACACCTTAAAAAAGTTAAAAAATCAAAGTATAAAGAAACAGGTGGAATTAATTTTTAATTATATATTTCATTTAGCTCAATATACCCAACATGTTATTTCAACATGTAATCAGTATATAAACTTGTTAATGAGATAGATATTTTACTTTTTTTCCTAGATCTTCGATTTCTAGTTTGTGTTTTGCACTTACAGCACATACCAGTTTGGACTAGTCATGTTTCAAATGCTCACTGCAACATGTGGCTGGTCGCTGCTGCAGTGGATAATGTAGTTTTAGAACATGTATAAGACACCGTGCTTAAACAAAAACTGAAAACATGGATGCCTATCAGAACTGGAATGGACCCCATCTGTTTACTACTCCAAGCACTTCCGTTTACATTTTCTTTTAAGTCCTCAGCTGAGGATATTTTTCCCACTGCTTTTCAGAGATAGTGGAAAGGAGGGAGGGAGAGAGAGAGAGAAACATCGATGTGAAAGAGACATGCCATGACCGGGGATTGGATCTGCAACCTAGGTATGTGCCCTGACTGGGAATCAAATCCGCAACCTTTCTGGTGTGTGGGATGATGCTCCAATCAACTGAGCCACTCGGCTAGGGCTAGAAATTACTTTTTTTTCTTTTAAATATATCTTCATTGATTTTAGAGAGAGGAAAGGAGAGGAAGAGAGAGAGAAACATCAATGATGAGAGAGTCATTGATCAAGCCCGCAACCCGGGCATGTGCCCTGAACGGGAATCGAACCCTGGTCGCCTGGATCCCAGGTTGATGCTCAACTGCTGAGCCACGCCCGGCCGGGGCATTACCATTTTTGAAGAGCATTTTGGTAATATATATTTTTAATTTTTTATCAAAATGAATACATACTCATAATTTAAAAAATAATATAGTGCTAAAGTTAGTGACAAAAATAAGCAGTTCCCTGCATTACCCAAGCCCATTTCCCAAAGTCAACCACTTGAAACTCCTGCAGAATCTTAAAGGAAGAAAATCAGTAAATAAATTAAGTACTGGTGTTTTTAAAGCACAACTACCTACCCAAGCATTCCTGACTCTTTGGTCTTTATGATGTAGAGGAACATTAATAATGTATGAAACATATTATTTCGGCCCTGGAACAAAGACAAAAAAGACAGCAAGATTTAAACCAAGACAAGCAAAAGATTCAGTCTAATAGGTAAATGCAGATCCTATCAACTCACATTCTACAAACTCAGAATTCCATCTAATTCAGATTATCATTCACTCATTAAAGAAAGTGCCTACTTTGTGCTAGGAAGTGGGACTACTGCAGTGAATAAAGACAGAGAGGATCCATGTAATCAGGAGCTTAAAGTCTAGAAAAAGACAGACAGTAAGCTCAGAATTATAAAAAGAGTGATGAATATTATGAGAGGGTACCATGGGAACATATGTGGGCCTCTGACCCAGACTGGTGAGACAGGGAATGCCTCCCTGAGGGAGATACGTATTTTTTTAATCCTCACCTGAGGATATTTTTCCATTGTTTTTCAGAGAGAGTGGAAGAGGGGGGGAGGGGAACATTGATGTGAGAGAGAC